TTTCTGAAACAAAATTGATTCTATTTAAGATATTTCTGAAGCGTGCTGAGGAACAGACGTGAGGAAGGCATTTCAGACACGTGGGCCTTTTAGTGGACTAATAGGGTACGTGGCTACGTCATGTGCAAGCAGATTTATGCAGATTGTCAGATGCTGTCTCTGGTAGTTGATTCAGTTTGGGATCCGAAGGGTCAGGAGCTCCCTAGTCCTGGAGTTCCTTTTAGTTTTGTTAGTCTTACTTTAGTTTATTTTTTTCAGTTCAGTTAGATACCATGAAAGTGAGATAAATATACCTAAATAATCAATTTATAGTAAAAAAACTAACTAATTTGATGAATAAACTACACTAAAACTAAACTAAATACTAAACTAAAGTAATACCACCTGTCCCGTAAGACAGAATCCTGGAGCTAGGGGTAGCTAAGATGGGCCATCAACTTAGCGTTCACCGGTCAGGAAATTAGAGCTCATTTCCAGTGATTAGATCTTTTCCCTTTCACCTGCTTCCTGGAACTCACCTCTTACTTCTCTATTACGTCGCCAAAAGTACCCTTGCTCGTGGTATTTTGTCAAACTCCTCCCTAACAATAAGTCTGGCACGCTTGAAACTAGTTTGATTGCCTGCAGACAGGATTACACAGTCCTCTTTTGCGACGACGGCTAGACTGCACAGACTCGTGTGACACTTCTCACTTCTTCGAAAGTCTGGCATATTCTGAATAGGAGGTCATCTTTCACGTAATACGCACAGGCAAGCTATTTGGCGTTTTCAGTCACTGGCTGAACGCTCATGTTTGGCAGTTTTGACTTTGTCCTGACGCCGGAACCTGGTGGACTTTAGAGCAGCGAGCGGGTTGGAGGCAGCTAAAGCATGCCTTAGTATAAACAAAAGCGCACACCAGATACGACTGCCCCACCCCGTGAGATTGTGGCAAATTCCACTGCTTACAACGGCCGAACTATCAAGCAGGTTTCAGGCACCAAAGATCAGATTGGTATAATCGTAAAATAGCATTAGAGTTTTCGCATTCACTTAGCACAACTAGCCAATTTGATAAAAGTCAAAATGGTCGTCCACCTTAGATATCCCTAGTGCTATGGGTACTTTTAGTTTTATTATTTTCAGTTTATTATTTATTTTGATTTAGTTTAGTATTTATTTTAGTTAGATATCTCCAAATTAAAAAATATATGCCCAAATAAGTATTATTTAGTAAACCAAAATTGAACGAATAAACTAAACTAATATCAGCAGTCCCGTAAGACAGAATTCTGGGGCAAATGGTATCTTACGTGGGCGCTCAACTTAACGTTAACCACATATTTTGCCGCTGATCATGGCTCACCCAAATAAAACTTGCCTACTTCGCATCTTGTTGAGTTTCTAGACAGGTTTGCTGTAGTCTCCCGTAGCTGAGCTGCCTTTTTACGCCGGATTGCGATTGCACTGGATGAACTGCCCTTTAAGCATTCGGAGGGCCACAACTATCAGTAGACATTCTACGCACAAGTACGTTTGTTAAGTACGCAAAAGACTGACTGTGGGGTAGCTGTGGCAGTTGCCAATTTTACCTCAGGGTAAGTGCGAATCGGTTCCTGAAAGTGAGCGGTTTTAGTAGAGTAAGTTATATACGGCTTCGCTTTACAGAGAGTGATCACTTACGTGACCCCCTTAACAGGATAGGAGAGTAGAAACGTCCTACAAGGCGGTCCTAAGGACATAAGTCCAGAAAGGGCAAATATTATAGTGTCCTAGCTCCAATACTATCATTAGCACAACCCATAGCCCTAATCTTGACCACAACTCTGCCCTAAACCGTAGCCTAAATGTCAACTCTAACCCTAACCTCAACTCGAAATTTAAACCTAAATTACCGTGAAACTAACCTCGATCCTCACTTAAAACCTAACCCTAAACTTCACCCAAACAGTAAATCTGTAGCGGTTCTGCGTCTCCTTTCGACAAATCTAACCCCTTGTGGTAACAATAAAGTTGAGATACACCCTAGCACCTAGCGCTGTGGTTACGTTTAGTTTTATTAGCTTTACTTTTGGTCTAGTTTAGTTTTTAGTCTATTAGTTTAATTTTAGTTTCAGTTTAGTTAGATAGCGCCGAAGTAAGATAGATATTCTTAAATAATTACTATATACTAAACTAAGCTAACTAAACTAAGCCAAGGTTAACAAAACAAAAAATCAACTACACTTTTACACATAATTCTGGTGTTAAAACACCTTTACCCCGTTGTCTCTGAACTTCGGCGCGAAATCACCCTTACTGTAGGTGGTTTCTACTGCTATGCTCAGCTTAGAGGGCCACAAAAGTTAGCCTTGCCGAGCATACTTCTGCCCAGAAAAAAACAGTGTTGATGTCTCACGCTCAAAGTATTTGAAACTTGGCAGCTAGTCCTTTCCGTGGAACACTAATTCGTTAGAACGAAGTGCACGACCTAAAAGCAACAGCGATACTGCTTAAGCAGACATGACCTAAAAGCGGCGTATCCCTTTATAGCACCCTTTAGCCTATCCATAAAATACGTTGGCTAGATTTGAAACTGATTTAAATAGGCCACGTTTCACGTCAACACAGAATTTGTTTTGTTAATCAAAGTGCAAGGAAATAGCAGTGAAAATGCGATTCTCGGGTGGTAAGTCAGAAAAAGGAAGGGCATGCACCGGGAGGGGTAGTTGTTTCGTTTACCCACCTTCAGAAACTGAACATCGCGGCTCATGACTCCCTTTATATACCGTTATATGCCATATTGCAAGGGTGACTTTTCGTGCCGTGTGAGAGTTGAGCTGAACCGATTGCCATGACCATGGCTTTAGTCGCTCCATCCACTCAATGCCCCACATGTCGGTTGGGGCAGCGTGAACAGGATACTAGGCATCACGAGCGCTGGCACGGACGCCCGTCACTAGTGTCCTGAGACCGCACTATGATGTCTTCGAAGGTGGCCATTCATACCGATAGGAGATTCTACTGGGTGATTACAGTGGTCAGAAGAAAGAGGAGTGTTCACCGAGGGGCGGTTTATTGGGTGTCTGACGTTTCGGTGGATAGTTGTTTCGTCTACCCATCGCCAGAGGCTGAACACTCCGGCGCATAACTCTCGTTATATACCGCTCTTTATTTTCATGTACGCAGTCTATCAATAGCGGTTGAGCAGCTGCATGTGACTCGCATCTCACTGTTACTTGTGTTCCCGTTGCCGACCTCCCCCGCCAGGCACACAATAAACCGTTCCCGGTGAACAATCTTCTTCCTTTTGACTTACCATCCGGAAATCGCATTTTCACAGCTATTACTGATTGCAATGGTATTATGTCCACATTTCTGCTAGACCGTGTCTAGCTTGGATTGGAACGTAGTGTTGTGGCGAGGAAAGATGAGAATGTGATGTCGCCAATCATTGTGGATAAGCTTTTTCACTATGTGAGGTCTGTTTGCATTTGTGTGCATTCGAAAGTGTTAAACTCGTCCATCTTGGACCCTAAACTTCGTTTGACAGTGCAGGCAATGATCTGGTGTTAGCTACGCTGGTTCGCGCTTTTGCCGTTCTATCAGCCTGATGCCTTAGTACCATGTTTTTCGAAACCTTCTGGCGTGTGCGGCCTTTGCTAGACTCTGGGTGGTCATTTCCATGTAAACGCCGCCATATTTTACTCTCTAGCTTCTAGACTTTGTTCTTTCTATCGAATCAGTAGGCACAGAGTGAGATATCAATTCCTAAAAACCCTTGATCCATAGCAGTGATTCGTGCAGCCGCTACCGCCGCAGCCGCCGTCATTTTTCCCGTTTTATCGTTAGTAGAAGTGTTTAATTTGGTCTCCTCCAAGCAGCAAACCCCCTCGCATTTTGTCTGTTTTCTTCCTTTATTCTTTCTGCTCCCAACTGTTTCACCCGTAGAACGATGTCGAGACCCTCCAAGCGACAACGCCGGCCGCACATGCGGTGCCATCCCCACCATCCTCACCAAAAACATTCGGATGGATG